CCTAAAACGTGTACCTGGCCACAAAACGGACAACAGTACAACCGTTAGAAAAACAGCAGCAAATAAATAAATAAAAGAATATAAAAATAATCTAAAGCTGGCGTTTTTCTGATGCAGGCCCAAGTAAGAATGCCATAGGGCCTTCAGGTTGCGGTGACGCGACCTGGGGGCCCTATTCCAACCTCGGGTCCCGTGAGGGGCCCGTGTGTAGGCTTTCAGCATGTAACATTATGGCTCACCTGACGATTCTCTGTGACACTTCATATGCTATGGAATGGATGACATTGCATTGAATGTATATTTTGTTTTTTGGAAAATCCAAAGAATCCAATTGGAAGCCTTATGTCTTCGTGGCATTTTCAGTTTTCAGGGTGAGTGATGTGACACAATCGGGCCTGGCACAATAGCTTCCAATTGGCTGCAGATAAACTGTGAAGTGCCATGGGTGCACATTATCAGTCTGTCGTTTTTTTAGCATCAGCGCAATCTTCTTCTTGTTGTTCTTCTTGGTTGTTGTCTTCTAGATGAAGTATTTAATATTTATATTCTTATTGCTTACTGGAAGGTTGTGAAACCGACTCCAACGTACGGTACAGAAGATTGAGCACGTAAAGCTTCCCTCCGTTATTGGTCAAGAGCCCCGGAGACAGTGGCATTGTTTTTGCCTTCCCAGGGGGGAACGATTCCACTGCTCCGCCCTTGTTTTCCCTAATGAGCTACCCCGTGTCTTGCTTTGCACCTCCTCTCAGCCTTGCCCGACTGCCTGATTTTCTGCGTTGACTCCTAGAGCTGCTGTTGCTGCCCGATTGAAGATATCCTGCATTGTCAACCATTGTCTTATGCTATGTCGTTACCTGTTTTGTGGGCAAGACCGCAACAGGTCCACTTGTGATATAAGAAAAATGAGGGAAAAGAAAGGCGATCTAGTGTTCTGTTGTTATTACTTATTATGTATCTTTTTCATGTCTCCTCTTTTTTTCTGCCAGGCAACCTGTGGTCTTAATTCACATGCCTGTTAGATGACTGCTGCTCCATCATTGGTGTTGAGCGACGTTCTTCATGTGTTGCTTTGGGTTCATTTTGTATAGAATTGCAAAAATCAATACACTATAGACTCAGGCTTGTTCAATTATGAAATCACGACGATAATTCACGAACTATTAATTCTGCTTTCTCAACTTTTATGCAGTTGAGTTAAAAAATAAAAGTGATCTGTGCAGCAAGCACAGAAAGGTCTTTCTCTGCGTAGCAGCGCAGCAAGGGAAGATTAGGTGTTTGTGGTGCCAGCTGTCTCTTCGGGAATGCCCAGCTTCTGTTGGTATGAGTGTCTGAGGTGACGTCATCTGCTGTGTTTAGCCTTCTACCTGTCCTCCTTGGTTCTGTCACCTGTCCTTCTTGGTTCTGTCAATGCCTCGTTCTCCCTCGTTGACCCTAAAGATAACTTAGCATAGCGAACTCTTGCTGCCCTTTAGGTCTCTCAGCTACCTCCTTAGTGGCAACAAGAATCTGACGAGAACGGCTTCCTGGGAGGAAGGAAGGAAGGAAGGAAGGAGGGAAGGAGGGAAGAGCAGTGTTTCAAAATGAACACTCGTAGCACTGTGGTTTGAGGATGGATGGCACAGGGAACGTCAACCGGATTGTGCTTCAATCAGGCAGATGCACAACATTGAAATCTATCCCTCAGGCAGGTTTTCTCAACCTGCGGCACAATGCATGGCGTATGAGTCTATGTATGGTTGCTGAATGACGTGCTGGTTGAGTGGTTCGATACAAAAATCATTTTGTATATGAAACATTGTTTGCGCCAAATAGATTGCGTATTTCGACCAAAGTCCGTGTGACATGGGTTGAGTGACATGTCAGGCTATGCAGGCCCGGGCAGGCAGCGGCAGGCGTCTTTTTTTTCGTTCGAGGAAATCAGCAAATAGATGTAAGTGCAATGAACCCAACACCCAAAACTTCACAACATCAACACCATGCATATATTGTTAGATGCTCAATAATAATTAACAACAACCAAGAGATGGCTAGTAGACAAGATTTTAGACAAAGGAGGAGAAGAATAAGAGGAGGATCGTTTTCAATGATAACCAATGAATACAATGTCTTATGACTCTTATCTCACTGTTGGTGTGGCATGCATAGTTCCCACATGGGCCCCGCAGGGCCCGTTGGTAGGATTAGGGGTCCTAGGGGTTAGCAGGTTGGTTTAGAGGTCAGGGCCCAGTGTCGATTCGGGCTGTGTTTAGGGCCTGTAGGATTAGTAGGCCTGTTACCGCCCCAGTGTAGGACCAGCACTGTTCAGGTCCGTGACCAGGCAGGTCAGTAGGCCCCGGTACCAGTGGTTAAGCGCCATGTCGTTTGGGCACCAGATTTCGGTTCAGAGACCGGGCCGTTTTGGCAGCAGTTTAGGCGCCAGCTCCTAGGACTGCCGATCGACTCGTAGATCAGATGGCCCTGCATCGCGAGGCCCAGTAGCTGAGGCCGACCCAGCGCTACATTTAGCTGGGTCCAGCTTCAGTCACGGAGTAGTATGGAGGTAGTCTTCAGTAGTCGACGCGCTGGGCACCGTAGGTATTCGAGTAGAGCACTGGGCGCTGATAGAGGTTGATGACACCAGTGGGAGTAGAGGTTGGCGGAGGCCAGGGGACTTACCTGTCGAGTTACCTGCGACGCCATAACTCCAGCTTTGTCTTCAGCACATCCGCACCTGCATCAAGGCGACACCTTTCTGCAGGTTAGTACCTGGCATACATGCACACAGAGAGAGATAATTCTTCTTCTTCTTCTTCTTCCTGTCTGTTCTCCCTCGCTCCTCTTTCCCTCCGGAGCTTCTTCTTCTTCTTCTTCTTCTTCTTCTGCTGCTGCTGCTGAGGTGCGCGCGCGCGCGCGCGAGAGAGAGAGAGAGAGAGAGAGAGAGAGAGAGAGAGAGAGAGAGAGAGAGAGAGAGAGAGAGAGAGAGAGAGAGA